GAAGATAATGATTTTCTTTACATTGAGGTATAATCTATACTGAAGCCTGTACTCTTTGATGTTCATCAGTAAGTATTTTAAGTCCTCTTCACTTCCAGCAAGCAAGATTGTCTCATCTGCATATTGCAGGTGGTTATTGAGTCTTCCTCCAATCCTGATGCTTATAATCCATATAATCCTGATGCTTAAAATCGTCATATAATCCAGCTTCTCAGATTATTTTCTCAGCATATAGATTGAATGAGTATAATGAAATAATACAACCCTGGTGCACACCTTTCCTAATTTTAAATGGTTTAGTATTCCTTATTCTGTTCAAATGACTATCTCTTGGTCCATGTACAGGTACCTCATGAGCAAATTTAAGTGTTCTGAAATACCTATTCTTCACAATGTTTTTAATAGTTTGTCATGATCCTCACTGTTGAATGCACAAGCAAATATCTTTCTGGTATTCTCTACTTTCAGCCAAGATGCATCAGCTACACCATATCAGCAATGATATCCGCCCTTCTAGTCCTCTTTTGAATCCAGCTTGAAGTTCTGACAACTCCCTGTTGATGTAATGCTGCAAATGTTTTTAAATTATCTTCACCAAAATTTTATTTGTATGCAATATTAATGATATTGTTTAATGATTTACACATTCTTTTGAGTCATCTGTCTTTGGAATGGGCATATATAGAATCTCTTCCAATCTTTTGGCCAGGTAGCTGTCTGCCAAATTTCTTGGCATAGACTAGTGAATGCCTCCAGAACTGCATCAGTTTCTTGAAACATTTCAGTTGGTATTCTGTCCATTACAGGAAACTTCTTTTCACCAGAGCCTTCAGTGCTGTTGTCTGGACTTCTTCTATCAGTATCATCAGTTCTTGATTGCATACTACCTCTTGAAATGGTTGAGCACTGACCAGTTCTTTTTGGAACAGTGACTTGGTATATTCCTTCCGTTTTCTTTTGATGCTTTTTTGCATCATTAAATATTTTGCCCATAGACTCCTTCAATATTGCAAGTCAAGCCGCGATTTTTTTCTTCAGTTCTTTCAACTTGAGAAATGCTGTGAGTGTTCTTCCCTTTTGGTTTTCTAATTACAAGTCTTTGCATGTGTCATGATAATATGTCACTTTGTCTTCTCAAACTGCCCTTTGAAATGTTCAGCTCTTTTACTTCATAATTTCTTCTAGTCATTTTAGCTTCTCTATGTTCAACATCAAGTTTCAGCGTCTCTTCGGACATCCAGTTTGGTCTTTTCTTTACTGTGTTTCATATATTTTTAATGGTCTTGCTTTCTTCGTGTATAATGCTCTTGATTTTATTCACAAGTTTTCTGGTCTTAAGTAAATTAATATTTAATGCAAAATATCTGCTTTTGAGATGGTCTCTAAATTCAGGTGAGATATATTTGAGGTCATATTTTGGCTGTCATGGACTTGTTTTAATTTTCTTCAACTTAAACCTGAACTTGCATTTAAGCAATTGGTCTGTTCCACAGTCTGGTGCCGACCTTGTTTTAGCTAATAATATTGAGCTTCTTTATCACTTTTTCCCATAGAAGTAGGCTATTTGATGTCTGTGTATTACACCTGATGAGGTCCATGTGTATAGTAACCTTTTATGTTGTTTTTAAAAGGTATTTGCAATGGATAAGTCATTGGTCTTGCAATGGTCTATCAGGCAATCTCTAGCATAGTTTCTATCACCTATGCCATATTTTCCAACTACTGATCCTTTCTCCATGCTTCCAACTTTTGCATTCCAATCACTTGCAATCATCAATGCATCTTGACTGCATGTTTGATCAGTTTCGGATGGAAGAGGTTAGGAAAATCTTCAATTTCATCATCACTGGTTTTAGTAGTTGGTGCATAATAGAGGTATGAACTGGACTTCCTTTTAGGTGTCTGGATATCATCCTATCACAGACAGTATCATACTTCAGGATAGATTTTGAAATGCTCTTTTTAACAATGAATGTGATGCCATGCCTCTTCAATTTGTTGTTCCTGGCATAGTAATCCATATGATTTTTTCTGATACAAAATGGCCAAAACCTCCATTTCAGCTCACTAATACCTAGGATATTAATCTTTATGTATTCCATTTAACTTTTGACAATTTCCAATTTTCCTAGATTCATACTTCAAATTTCACGTTCCAGTTCTTAATGAACATTTACAGCTGTTTCTTCTAATTTTGAGTTGTGCCCCATCAACAAAAGAAGATCCCAGATGCTTTACTCTATCCATATCATTAAGACCAACCCAACTTTGCGGAGGCAGCTCTTTGCAGTTGTATTTTGAGTACCTTCCAGCCTGAGGGGCTCATATTCAGCACTCTACCAGACAATGTTCTGCTGCTCTTCAGAAGGTTTTCAGTGGCTACCCTTTAGAAGTACTTTGTCTCACCATCTTCCTAATCTGTGTTAGTCTGGAAGCTTCACCGATACATGTCCACCATGGGTGACCTTGCAGGTTTTTAGGATACCAGTGGTATACTGTCCAGCATCACAGTAACACACAAGCCATCAAGGTACAACAAACTGACAGGTGAATGGCGGATAAACCATATAGGACAGAGTCAAACTGCTCCTTAGGTGTCTGAGACTGTAAATCTGTACAGGAATCCCTGGCTTCATCTTTCTCTGACAGAGAACCACAATCTGTAGTAAGCATACACCACAATGCCTCCAGGGATAGGCTGGTGAGTTTGAACTGCCGACCTTGTGGTTGAAATCGACCTTACAGTCTAGTGCTTTAACCCGCACCAGGACTATAGCCATCACAGTAGTGTATTATTCTATACTTCTGTAGTACGGAACCTCGTGGAATTTGATTGAAATTGTAGCACAACAGAGATATGGACTCCTGGTGTGGCGCTGTAGGATCAACACTGGACTACACACCACAAGGTCAGCAATTCAAACCCACCAGCTGCTCCTCAGAAACCCTATGCAGGGTCGCTATGAGTCAGAAGTGACTCAACAGCACTTAACAAGAGATATGTAGGAAATTTTAACAAATCAACACTGGAATGAAATATTAATAGAGGATGAGCCATTTAATTCCTAAAGATGTTTGAGTGTGAATAAATCAAAACCAGATCCAACCTACTGCTTGCTGTTGAGTAAATTCTAGTTCATAGCGACCCTGTGTAAAAACCGCGGCACAGATAGGAAGGCAATGTCATTACGAAGTTCTCAGGTTTCCGAGTGCTTTAATGTTTGGTCAGAGACATGGCTTAAAGTTAGGTGGTAAGGGAATCGGAGGTGGTAGGAGTTCTTTAAAAACTCCCCTTTTATGTAAAATATATACATTATGTTGTTGTTGTTAGGTGCCATCAAGTCGGTACCGACTCATAGTGACCCTGTGCACAACAGAATGAAACACTGCCCGGTCCTGGGCCAACCTCACAATTGTTGCCACACTTGAGCCCATTGATGCTGCCACTTTGCCAATCCATCTCACTGGGGGTCTTCCTCTTTTTCTCTGACCCTCCACCCTACCAAACATGACATCTATATACTTTATAGAAGAGCCTATATATGGAACCTTTGTGGTGCGGTGCATTAAGTATTAGGCTGCCAACTACATGATCGGCAATTCAAAACTACCAGTAAGAGGAAGCTGTTTGTTCCTGTAGAGATTTAGTATTCGGATCTCTAAGGAGTAGTTCTCTGTCCTGTATAGGGTTTCTATGAGATGCACTTTAATAGCAAGAAGAAAATAATAAGGACAACTCCTCCTGAAACAAAAATCTGAGCTTAAATATGCATGGATGCAAAGAAAAGTGTTTATGGACTGCACAAGGCTCGTTCATTTTTCTATGTTTTGTACATGTTGCATGTAAGTGATGCTTTTAAGGACCCCCTTCTTTAAGTCCTGTTGGTGACAATACATTCAAGAACTCAGAAACCTGAGTCCTTAATTATAAGATCGTCTTCCAGTCTGTACAAGGAACTTCTTTTTCTCTTTCTCCCAGAACTTTAAGAATATGGGTTAAAGAAATAAGACCCTCCCTTTGTTCCCATAGTGAGAAAGATGCACCTGGTCCCTTTCAGGTGGGACAACCAACCTGGCAGTAGATGGGACCAGGTTTGTAGTAGAATCATCCATATAAGTCAAGGATTGGTGTGTACTTATTCTAACAGGGCAATCTGAGCTCACATTAACCTCTGCCAGCTTTCTAGGTTCTTCCTTTCAGCTCCTTACTCTTCCTACCTCAGGCCTCACCATAGTTCTCAATGAGGCACGGAGACTGGGGAGGACCTGGCACATTCAGTGGATGGCTGCATCTGGCATCTTCTCCAAATTTCCAGAAAGTCATAGGGTCTGAGTCAAAAAGTTACTGACAAGCTATTTTCAATGCTGAGCAATTGCTTTTCTCACCAGGCAGGGTGTGGGTGACAGAGACTGGGCAACAGAGGTAAGTCATTAAGTGAGAAACCTATATAGAGTTGGCCAACAAAATGCTGTGATTTCATGGGTCTAAGTTTTTAGCTTGTCAAGAAGGAATCACTTGAATTGAACTAGTGTTGAAGTATGATAAATAATAGTTTTTGAACAGTGGAAAAATGCTCTTTCTGAAACAGAGACGATACCTTCCAAAACAAGGCTGTTTGTTTATTTTAAGAACTGCAGTTTCATTTTAATGATTTATGAAACTACTTAGTCCTTTAGTAGCAAAACAGTGTGTTTTGCTCAGTTTGTGATATCTTCATACAAATAAATAGTTCTTTTCAGTCCTTAGGTATCAAATCTTTGCCATGAATAAAACTGAGACCACTGGGATTTTTATGAGAGTTATTTTATTCACATGGTGGTTAGATGAGACTTAGCAGGATGCTAATGAAATTTTAAAACTTCTAAATATGTACATAGACTTAGTGTATATTCTTTCTTTCATGGGTGAGGAAATGACATAAATGTAGGTAGTCAAAATCTGAAATAATATTTTAAAATGTAAGTGAAGAAGTGTTTTTGCCTTAACTCGAAATTCTCAGATTCTGCGATGCTTTTCTTCCAAATGATTGCCACCTCAATCTTTTCCACGCCACTGAGCCCATTTCTCGGGAGTGTCATTTTCATCACGTCGTATGTCAGGCCGGTCAAATTCTGGGAGAAAAACTACAAGTAAGATCTAAAGTCAATTCTAACTTCCTTTACTCAGATTTGTGCGTTTTGTTCCTCAGTGATACGGTTCCTGGTCCCACGGTGTGGCCTGCTATGGAGAGCCTGCCTGCTTAATGGTGCTCTGAAATCATTTCCTTACAGTGCACTGGGATCTGAGGGCTCCAGGCCAAACACAGCTGTGTATAAATGAACAACCAAGTATCCATCCTCCGTGTGTCGCCAGAGTAGAACTGCGCTCCATAGGGTTTTCAATGGCTGTAACCTTTCAGAAGTAGATGGTCAGACCTTTCTTCTGCAGTGCCTCAGGGTAGATTCAGTCTCCAACTTTGAGGTCGGCAGTCAAGCACGTTAACCGTTTGCATGACCCAGGGTATTACTATTTCCTGAATGCTCCACTTAAGAGACCAGTCCCCACTTTTACTGATGAGCTCAGATATTTACTAAGGTTCAGCCCCTAATGTCCCTTGCAAGCTCACACTCACAGAATGCAGCCTGGGGGACCCATACTGGAGGGGCAAGGGCAGGTGAGGCTGGGACTCCTCCTGTTCCTTGCAGAGTTGTCATCTGCTAAGAAAGGTGCTTTGCTTTGTTTTTGAAGTAGAAGCAAAGTCATCTTGAAATCTACATGAAAACAAGAGTTCCCTTTTACATTTGTCTAGAAAGATCATTTATATTTACAAAGCCTAGGAGTAAGTGAAGATTACCAGTATTCGCTTATCTTTCAGCATTATTATGAGAAGACAATTTGGGGGATCTTTTTGGAACTCCGAAAGTCATACCTCTGGATGGTTCAGAAACCCAAAGCAAAAAAAAAAAAAAAAAATCTGTTTTCCAGGGCATATTTGTTGTTGTTGCTAAATGACGTGGAGTCAGTTCCAACCCATAGTGACGCTATGTATAGGTTTCCAAGGAGCAGCTGATGAACTTGAACCACCGACCTTGCAGTTCAAACCAACATTGCAGTCCAGCACATTAACCCACAGTGCTATACCAGGGCACGTTTGTTGTTATTGTTGTGAAGTGCCGTCGAGTCGATTCCGACCAATAGCGACCCTGTATAGGGATTCCAAGGAGCAGCTGGTTGGTGAGTCCAACACATTAACCCACAGTGCCACACCAGTACTCTGTTTGGTGGGTTCAGAGTCCCAACTTTTCTTTTCAGCAGCTGGGCCGTTGGCCACTGCGATACCAGGGCTCCTTTCTCTGGAAGGTACAAAAGCTTATGAATAAAACAATGATATACTCTCGTGATTCTAACTGTACAGATAAGGAATGCAAAAAAAATATTTTAAAGTGGATCCTTGGTACAAAAGATTCCTTTCAACTCTTAATATCAGATAAATTAGAATCCATCTTCCTGGCATGGGAGAATTTAATACAAGGAACACAGTTCCTAGTTGAACCGGAAACAATTTTAAGTATTAAATAATAGAAAGGGACTCCTGATATGGCGCTGTAGGATCAGCACTGGACTGTGAGCCACAACGTCAGCAGTTCAAACCCACCAGCGTTCCTTGGAAACCCCATGCAGGGTCTCTATGAGTTGGAACCAACTTGACAGCACTTAACAACAACAACAGTAGAAAGGTAAGTCCTGGTATGGCACTGTAGGGTAAGTACTGAGCTGTAAACCACAAGGTTGGCAGTTCAAATCCACCAGTCACTCCTTGGAAATCCTATACAGGGTTGCTATGAGTCAGAAATGATTCAATGGCACTTAAGAAGAATGCAGTGCTGTGGTAAGGGGCCATAGTGGTGCGGTGGCTAAGTGTGGGAGAAGGATTAGACAGTCTGCTTCGAAAAAGATTGTTGTTATTAAGTGCCATCGAGTCAGTTCTGACTCATAGCGACCCTGTATAAGGTTTCCGAAGAGTGGCTGGTAAGCTTGAACCACCAACCTTGTGGTTCAAACCAACCCTGCCGTCCAGCACATTAACCTGCAGCGCCACCCCAGGACAGCTTTAGAGACTAGAAACATTGTGGAACAGTTCTTTTTGTCCTGTGGGGTCACTGTGAGCTGGAACCAACTCAAGGGCACCATGATTTGCCTTGGGGTTTTTGGTTCTAACATAAGTGGGGTCAGGGTTCAAACTTTGCTTTGCATTTTTCTGGGGTGTAAGGACGGGCACACCAGATTCTGGGCATGTCAAAGGGTGTTCCACTCTTTACTAGATCGTGTTACTGGGAGCCAGGTTGGAAAAAAAATTTTAGTTCCTCTAGGGGAAGAAATTCTTGATGTAAAATCCAGTTTGGGGCTTCTGTTAAAGAGGCAGAATACGTAATTACATTGTCTGTTTTAAAAGATCTGTGGATAGAAATTCAGGAAAGTAAAGTAGTGGAGTCCTGGTGTGGTGTTGTGGGATAATGCACTGGACCACAAGGTCGGTTTGAACTACAAGGTTGGTGGTTCAAATTCACCAGCTGCTCCTCAGAAACCCTATACAGGGTTGCTATGAGTCAGAACCGACTTGACGGCACTTAACAACAATAACAAGGTAGAGGGGGATACCAGATAAGGAAATGCAAGAAACCTCATCTGGATCTCGGATCCTTACACACACTTTGGAAAGTTTAGTCTGTTTTAAGCTGTTGGTTTTCATTTCATTGTTAATGATTTCTAGACCGTTGGTGGTACAAATGGTTAAGCACGCTACTACTTGAGAAAGATTGGCAATTTGCAGTTTGAACTTACCCAGAGGTGCCTCAGAGGGCAGACTGGAGATCTGTGTTCTAAAGGTCACAGCTTTGAAAGCTTATGGCAAGCTTACCCTCTCTGCACACCTGGGCTCACCATGAGTAGTAATTGAGAACCATGAAAACCAGTCAGTTATTGCACTTCTGAGTTTACGGGGAGTGACTCCTGCCTTCTTTTAAATGTTCCAATCAGGTTAGTGTAACTGATGGTGTTTGAATTTTTAACTAATTGTTTTATTACTTTAAAATGGCCCACCAACAAGATGCTCTCCTGGGGGGCACTCACAGGCACATCTCTCTCAGTACACTGCCACTGGGCCCTGGGCTGTGGGGACTCATCTGAAGTCCTCTCTCCCAGCCACCTCTCCCTTCCCACCCCTGCTTCTTCAATTTTCAGTGACATGCCTTTCAGTGACATGTATTTCAAGTCTATTAAAGCTGCCTTTGGTATTTACAGGTATCTAGGAGCTCTGGTAGCGTCTGGTGTTTACAGGTATCTAGGAGCTCTGATAGCGTAGTGGATAGGAATTGGGCTGCGAACCTTAAGGTCAGCAGTTCGAAACTACCAGCTGTTCCGCGAGAGAAAGATGAGGCTTTCTGCTCCTGTAAAGATTTACAACCTCGGAAACCCTGTACAAGGTTGCTATGAGTCAGAACCAACTCCACGGCACATAACCATCACCACCACCAGGAGTCCTTATGATTCAGAGCCGACATTGACACTTAACAGTAACAACAAGGAGTCCTGGTGTGGTGCTGTAGGTTAATCACTCACAAGGTTCAAACTCACCAGCCATTCCTCAGAAACCCTGTATAGGGTTGGTGAGTCGGAACCAACTCAATGGCACTTAACAACAATAATGAGTGAAGCCCTGAATTGCAGCTAAACCCACTCTCCCATAATCCTGCCTAATTTTAGTTATTTTTCCCCCTATTAAACTGTCTTGGAATTCGCAGGCCCTTTTTTCCCCAACTCTGCCACTCACTGTAGGCAGACAATAAACGTGAGCTCCTCCCATGCCTGATTTCTATAGCCCGATTTCTATACTTTTGGAGTCCTGGTGTGGCACTGTGGGTTAATGCGCTGGACTACAAAATCAGTTTGAACCAGTCACTCTTCGGAAACCCTATACAGGGTCGCTGTGGGTCAGAACCAACTCAATGGCACTTAACAACAAGAGCACTTCTATAGGTTTACCTTTGGCCTCATTCCCATACATTCTTGAAAGTTATCTGATGTTATTAGGTGTCATCAAGTCAGCTGACTCATAGCAACCTCAAGCTCAACAGAACAAAACACTGCCCACTCTTCTACCATCACACAATTGTCATGTTTGGATCCACTGTTGCAGTCACTCACTGTGTAGCCCTTCTATTTTGGGGATACTCTCTTTTTCTGCTGACCCTTGACTTTACCAAGTATGATGTCCTTTTCCAGGAACTGGTTCCTCCTGATTAACATGTCTACATAAATGAGAAGAAGATTTCATATCTTCATTCACTTCTAAGGAGCATTCTGGTTGTACTTCTGCCAAGACAGATTTATTTGTTCTTCTGGCAGTCCATGGTACCTTCAGGATTACCTGCTAATACCATAACACAATGTATCAATTCTTCTCATTGTCCAGCTTTCATATTCATATGGGGTAACTGAAAATACCATGGCTTGAGGCAGGTGCAACCTTAAAGTGACATATTTGCTCTTTAACACTTTAGAGAGATCTTTTGTAGCAGACTTACCCAATGCAATACGTTGTTTAATTTTTTGACCTCTGAGTATTGATTGTGGATCCAACTTAAATGAAATCTTTGACAGCTTTAATTTTTGTTTTGTTTTGTTTTGTTTTTTAATGTTTTATTGTGAATTATGTGATAGTTTACATGGGAGAACATTAGTTTTACATTTATCCTATCATATATTGTTTCATTGCCATGGTTACAACCCCCCTCCTTGCACTATCAACCAACCAAAGGGTATATACTACAAGCCTGCCCCCCAGTCGTCAGCACACAGCCCCTCTCCCTCTCTGTGTCTAAAGTCCCCAACTGCTCCATCTCTCCACGTCATCGTCTCTGCCTCCATCTCAGGCATCACTGCTTCTCTGGTAGGGTCGCACTCTCCGCTCTTCTCCCTTGATGGTCCCAGGGACCTCCACTCCTAGACTGAAAAGTTAGTCACTCTCCCCCTTGCTACAAAATGTCTACCTTTACATTTCCAACCCTCACAATCAGTCCTGATAACAATTATTCACTATTGTATCATAAGAGACTCATCCGCATTTCATTTCATCAGCCCTGCCTAGACA